GACTGCACCCGCGAGATTTGAAAGCCAACTGTTATGTTAAAACCCAAGCAGTTAACCCATTCGCTAAGCAAGTTTGCAAATTGGCTGCCCAATACTTCTGAGACTTGCTGTTAAACTTGCATTTATTCGTTTAGTGATTTCTAAAGGTGGATGGATACAACTTCAATTACAGATGTGAAACCTTTGTATAGCCTTCTGACACAGAGGGCACTGTTCATAAACAAAATATTATACCGGTAGATGTACATTGAGTCACTATTGAACTATAGGTGGTGCTGTCACGGTCAACCATTATATTGTTTTCCTTGTAACATAGCTCCAAAGTGATTGGATATTGTCCATTAGAAATCTAAAGCGTGTGTTTTTTTTTCTTTCATGAAAATATTTTTTTTTTTTTAAACTACATACACTTGTTGTGAATGAAACTAAAAGGATAGTTTTTTTGATTAATGAAAACAAAAAAAAATTTCTACCGATATTTGCAGTTTTTGCATGTACATGTGCTTACATATTCCAGTATATCTCAGACTTGTTTTTGACCCTAAAATTGTGTTCTATTTGCGCTGGTCATTGTGTCCATAATGTACTGGTCTGTTGATTTATGTAATCATGGCATTTTAAAAAGTGAATCTCTAACTCATAACAAGGTGGCCATTTGCATATTAAGGTTAAATAATATATTAAATCAATGTACATTTTTTTGCTCATTGTAAATGATTGTTTAGTTACTAGAGCTACCGGTAGATGTATGCCTTCTAACATGTTAACTCTGTCAATTTTGGGGTCATTTACACCAAACAAAGTAGTTTAGAATCCTCTTATTAAAATATTGACATGAGTTACTATGACCTCTGTTGAATGGGGTCAGGCGCTGTTTTATAGTTACTGAAATTATATGCCTGTCACACATGTATGCAGTTTGTAATTCTGAAGTGAACTACAGAGGGCGCCATTACACAATGTTTTATACTTTGTAGCATAGAGGGATAAATACTACAATCACTTACCGGTACATCACTTAATATCCCATGTTTTGATGAAAAAGGAAATAAAACTGACATTATTTACTGATAATAGATGGCAGTGATATACACAAAAATACTTTAATTTTTACTAATTTTGAGATTAATTAATACATCTTGTGAAATAATTTTCTACATTTACCAGTACTGCTGACAGAGAATACATGGAATTGTTATGAATCTCTGTGTATTAAACAGCCCTTCAAAAACATTTCTCTGTATGACCTGTAGGTGGCTGTGTGTATTGCTTGTTATCCTCGGGGGCGGAGCTACGTCACGGACGTTGTACATTGCTAAGACGCACATCACTGTACCACGTATTTCCATGGGCTTTGTGTGCGCTGCTGTGGAAACAACACAAACTCAACTTTGAAGTAATCCCGAACAACCAAATTTATATATGTTACACATGTAGGGCTAATCTTGTTACACTGTTCAGAGGAGTCTCAACAATCATCCCAAAGTACCGTTTTCTGTGAGTTTTGGGCCTTTGTTTTCACCGCCGCTGGTTGCCAGGTGGTGAAAATACCCGGATGTCCGCCCCCGAGGATACTGGAAAATGTTTTTTGTAAGCATTTCTTACAGTTTGAAGTCACTCTCAGCGTGCATGACTTGGAAGTGAAATGGACATGATTGATTTGCATACTTATTGTGTATTGTTAATTGTTACTAGGGAAGGTTTTACACGCTGAGTAATAACTGGAGTGCCATTAATTCATGTTGTTATTCCAGCTCATTGCAGCTCTGTTTGTTTCTCATTAAAATGTTCTAATAAAATATGTATACCATCTCAACCAATTTATTCAGCCTTCAGATATTTCTGATGTAACTGAAGGTGGCACTTTGTTGAGCTTGCTGTGTTTTACACATGTCAAACCATTGTATTCCCCACTCTTAAAGCAAATATATTGAATGACAAAAAATGTTTTTCTAGTCTATGCGTGGGTTGGTGTTTCACCGGTGTTTGTATTATTATTTGATTAGTCAGCAAAATTCTTACCATTTGAAAATCTGTTGCAGTTTTAGAGATGAGAAAATTGTTTTTTGAGTATATTAAATCCTGATCCCTCAACCCCCTTCTATGATCCGCCCCATGTTCCACTCCTATTCAGCTTCAGCAACCGTGCACTGTGCATGTGTACAACCCATATCCACTGCCCACTCAAATTCCTAATAAAATTTTCTTTCAGTACAGTGTACACATAGTGTACATGTAGTGTATTTTGAAACAGGCCTGTGAGACCATCTTTCTATCATAATGATAATATTTAATTAGTTATCCCAGCATCCTCCAGGGATGGCTAAACATGTGCCTAACTAAGGTTTTTCCCAAGCTGCCAGTACTTTTAGTTCACCTCATTTAGTCTGTGGCATAAGCTCCCATGGTACAATGCTGTGTCCACCTTCCTGAGTCTGTGTCATATTTTTTTTCCATGATTCAGCAATCACAGAACACACACAGCTAGTGACCCCCCCCCCCTCCCTCTGGCTGTGTGTTACTGATTACTATTAGTGTTTTCATGTAACCGATGTGATTTGTGTTGAAGCATTTGTTACTCATTGAGTTGGAATTAAAGTTTATACATGACAGCTGAACTGAACTGAACTTTGCTAGTGATACTGAATTGTTACACTGAAAGTCCTACCGCTGAAAAAACACATGGTCCCCAAACTTTTGCAATAGTCCCTTCAATATATCCTTCCATCCGGCTTGGCTATCAGAAACAAACCGTTTCACCAACATAATCGGATTGAGTCCACCTCAATCATATTTAATCCCTTTCAATATCTGAAATAATTTTATCCTTCCCATTCCTAATAAAATTGTAAATAATAATATTGATTTTTTTAATAATTGATTTTGGCACTGTAATAATTGATGCTAAATATATGAATTGGGAAAGGCCAAAGGTTTTAAAGATCTGTATTTTACCAATTATTGAGAGCTTTTTTGAAGTCCTGTGATATTAACACTTCATGCGTATTTTGATGTCTAGTTAGCCACATTACATCAATACCTGTGCGAATTGCATCACCTATAAATCTGTCCTTCACAAACGCACATTGGTCTGGGTGAATGATAGTTGGCAGGATGGCATAAATGCGGTTTGCAATTGCTTTAGAGGTTATCTTGACATCAGTATTAATGAGGGAGATTGGTCTATAGTTTTCAAGGAATGTTTTATCTGCCTTTTTTTGGCAATCATGATTATGACCTCTTGTTTTTGTCACTCTGTTAACTGTCCCTTTATATGAGAGTAATTTAAACTGTTGATACAAACAGCATAATATCGTCATGGTCATGACACCGCCACTTACATTATCCTGTCTACCATAGTGGTTTACTTCCTCTGTTATTTTTCAAATCAAATTGATAAATAAATCTGACAATTCTTGTGTAGAATTGTATCATTCTTATAAAACTGAGTTTTTCCCATAAAAAATTGTTTCATTATGTGCTTGTGGTGTTAGTGATTTAATGAGTATGTTAATCATTTCAATTACCGTTTAATTATGCAAATGATATGCAATATTTTTTGCAAATTAGTATGCGTATTTTTTTTGGCATAGTAGTTTAAATTTTTTGAGAGGGCAGTATGTTACAATTTAAAAAAAAAAAATAAAAACTTATTATAACTTGTATTTCTGTATTGTATTTCTAGTGTGACTTCATCAATCAATCATCCAAGTTTCCATTGTTAGCTCAAATTGTAACGGATTATGGCCAGAATCTGGTGGAAATCATTTTGAAGGTAAGGTATTCGTAATGTGATCTTTCCAACGGTTACTCCTAAAATGCCCAGGTTTAGTATACCGGTAGGTAACTGAACAAGTTTGAGTGTGTTGACCGCAATCAAAGCAGTAAAACTCTAAATATATCAGCAAATCAGTGTTCTATTGTACTCTCTGTCTTAATTAATTCCTCAATGCTTACCACACAACATTGAAAAAACATTTCTAATGAATTTTTTTGGTGAGTACCTCAGTTGGAATCTGCAATAATTTAGAGGGTCTACCCGATATGTGGTTGATATTATGGGTTTAAAACCCAACCTTTTCAATATTACGGGAGGAAATCATCTGCTTGTCAACTCCAGACATTACATAGCTGCACAGTCTTAGCCTTGCTACAAGGTCTCAATTACAATAGTGGTGTACAAATTATGTACCAGAGAACCATTGACACAAGGTTTTTGGCTTAGGCCAGGAAATAAAGATTCTCTTTTTCTTGTTTCATGGAAATTGTAAAATGATTTTTTTTAAATGAGGCGATTTTTTTTTTTTTTTAAGACTGAGCTAAAATGGGGGTAATTTGAGACAAGTGCGAGTACAAGCGCATTTTTGAATGCTTTAGAAGGAAAAAAAAACGTTCAAGGTGCATAGTTCAAAATGATGCACGTGGAAACGAGAAACAGAGATATTTTTTTTCTCAGCCTTAGAATAGCCTGCATCTCTCATCGATTCTATAGCTAGAAATTTTAAACGGGAGGTATTTTAAACTATTATATTGCTTGAAATATTGTCACTATTTACAATAAGTGAACTAAAGTCATACAGCACAAAATACTGTACTACATTTCAAGCTACAAGTTTTAATACAATTTATTCATTCAAGCTTATTGGTGTCTATTTTTAAAATAGTACTCCTTATACTGAATTGGTTGATACCACAATAGAGGGATTTCTAGAAATCTTGGATCTACTTCAGTACAGACTACTGTTTAAATTTACATATTACCTTCAACATTGCTATGTAAGTGTGTTACATAAGCTTTTTTGTTTAGATGAACAATAAAGTGATGAGAAAAGTAAACGTACTTGATATATGCCTTCCATCATAACTCTCCTGCTTTCAAAATTGAATATGGAGTTGCACTCTAACTTTCGGATCAAAGATAGATGTTTTTATAGAAGAACAACCTTGGTCTGAAAGTCTGAAGTACATTGTGCTAGAGGGATTTTTTGAATTGCCTGCAGAATTTCCAATATTGGCCGCATTGACCTGCATTGACCCGCATGGTTCTAAAATTTCTTTCAAGTGCAACAACTGCATCTCTGTGTTCTGGCCATAGATGACAATTATCCTCCCAAATAATTCCCACACAATACAGTAGTGTGACATCATGATTTTGGTTTTAATAAGTACTATAACACCAATTTACAAATACTTGGCTTGATTTTACCTTAAGTTAGGTCTATTTCTGTGTTGTTGTTTATTGTTTTATTTTAAACGAAGGGTTACTACTTGTGTGTGTTTGATGTGTGTGATATAGACCAGGCTGATGTGTGTGATATAGACCAGGCTGGTGTATGTGATATAGACCAGGCTGGTGTGTGTGATATAGACCAGGCTGGTGTATGTGATATAGACCAGGCTGGTGTGTGCGATATAGACCAGGCTGGTGTGTGTGTGTGTGTGTGTGTGTGTGATATAGACCAGGCTGGTGTGTGTGATATAGACCAGGCTGGTGTGTGTGATATAGACCAGGCTGGTGTGTGTGATATAGACCAGGCTGGTGTGTGTGATATAGACCAGGCTGGTGTGTGTGATATAGACCAGGCTGGTGTATGTGATATAGCCCAGGCTGGTGTGTGCGATATAGACCAGGCTGGTGTGTGTGTGTGTGTGTGTGTGTGATATAGACCAGGCTGGTGTGTGTGATATAGACCAGGCTGGTGTATGTGATATAGACCAGGCTGGTGTGTGTGATATAGACCAGGCTGGTGTATGTGATATAGACCAGGCTGGTGTGTGCGATATAGACCAGGCTGGTGTGTGTGTGTGTGTGTGTGTGTGTGTGTGATATAGACCAGGCTGGTGTGTGTGATATAGACCAGGCTGGTGTGTGTGATATAGACCAGGCTGGTGTGTGTGATATAGACCAGGCTGGTGTGTGTGATATAGACCAGGCTGGTGTGTGTGATATAGACCAGGTTGGTGTGTGTGATATAGACCAGGCTGGTGTGTGCGATATAGACCAGGCTGGTGTGTGCGATATAGACCAGGCTGGTGTGTGCGATATAGACCAGGCTGGTGTGTGCGATATAGACCAGGCTGGTGTGTGTGATATAGACCACGCTGGTGTGTGTGACATAGACCAGGCTGGTGTGTGTGACATAGACCAGGCTGGTGTGTGCGATATAGACCAGGCTGGTGTGTGCGACATAGACCAGGCTGGTGTGTGCGACATAGACCAGGCTGATGTGTGTGATATAGACCAGGCTGGTGTGTGTGTAAATTAAACATATATTGTTATAAATAACTACATGTTATTTGGGCAGAAAAGTTATTCATGGTGTAAAGCCTGTAAATGTCCATTGTTTGAAAGGTAGGTCATATTCTGACCTGCCAGTAATCGGGTCAATATTGCATGCTGCTTAGCATTGGAGGTTTTGAAATTGACTTGCCTTTGTTTAAGTGCTCTGTTTATAAAAGAAACAAAAAATTGTCAGTGTGTATACATGTAGTTCAGAGGAAAGTCATGACTGTTTTCTGAACTCTTTATTTCTGCTAGCTTATGACTTTACTTAAAATATTTCAGATTATTTATGGGTTGTTTCATCACTTTTTGGGGGTGGAGCAATTTTTTTTAAAGCAATCTACATTATTTGACTTTTATTATTTATAGTCACAAACTCTGCCTCTAAATCTGCAGTGATTTTTATAGACTATTGAGATGTAATCATTGTTATTTATTGCTTGTTTTTTTGGTCTAATTTTCAAATCTGTATTTAAGTCAACTAAAGTGGTCTGATGCTGGGAATACATGTGATTGGTAGATGGTGAGGTCATGCTTGAATGATCTGATTGGTTGTTGACGCTTTACTGTTAAATCAGAAATGTTTTTCTCAGTTGGTGTACTTTAACTGGTGTACTTTAGGTGACCTGTGACCCATTTCTTCTCTCATTCATGTCAGTGGTAACTTTTATCTGATGTCAACAAGTTTGATTCATGCCAACTTTACTGTGAATATCTTTCACAGCTGTTTACGATGTAGGAAGTTTGGAGTGGCAAATAGCAACCTATTTCCTATATGCAGTGTTTGTTGCCAATTACTTGGCCTGTGTATAAAATAACTGATTGTGTATGAAATTTGACAGATTTGCACTGGAGCAGTACGGTATTTCTTATTTAGAACTTTATTATCTTCTTGTAATGATAATAATAATTTTATAATTTTTTGTAAAACAATGTGTGGAAATTGAAATAATGCTAAATAGCTGTCTTCCCCCTCCCCCCCTCCCCCCCCACCTGGAACTTCTAAAAATTGGCTGAATAGAATAAACACATTCTAAAAACTACTGTCAAATCTGCACAAAGTGAAAGAAAATTAATATTATATGGATATCAATATTTGAAATTACAAAATTAATGTAATCATTGGAAACAATATCAGTTAATTCCCGAATTTCAGAAGAGTAAATTAAAAACTGTAGTAAGTTGGTGAGTTATCTGGGTTTATCAGCTGTTCTCTATATTTATCTTTGGCAAATGGCCATCCAGACAGACTAATGTTGGCATGGATTCTGGCTTTATTTTTTGAAAAGATATGGTATATTTTACTGATTTCTGTTCCTATTTGAGTGCTAAGTACTTTGCAATTATTAGTCTACTTTGAGTATTGACACTGTCATAGTGATGAACTCATAATTTTGTAAACCCTTATAGTAGTCATTTGTTGTTTTTATTCATTTTGTCATATTTTTAGTATTAACAATAACTCACTCTTGTTTTTTATACCCTGAACAGCATAATGTAGGTAGTATAGATCCCACAATTATTGTTGATTGCACTCGAAGAATGGGGAAGTTTCAGTAAACTTTTATAGGGAGTCCTTCCTTTTAAGACCCCTTAAGTCAGTGCTATTAAGTTGTTATTCTATTGACTTGATTGGTGCTATGTTTTCAAAGTCCTAGTGACCACCAGGGGTCATTTTTGTCAGCTGTAAACACCATTGTGAATCTTTCACAGCTGATCTTTTGTGTGAGTGAGTATTTATCTGTGGTATTCTGCACTATATCTAGTGCATATTCCACTGTATCACTAGTGGGCAAACTTCCACTTGCAGCAACTTTGTACAACTTTTATTGAACCTTGAAATAATTACAGTTTTCTTACCGAGGATCCAAAGCAGCATAATTTTTATGTATAATTAAAATTTCTATGCTGGTATGCCTCCACCTCAAGGTTGTCGCTACTTTAGAGGGAGAGGAATACTTGAGAATGGTTGCAAGAATTAAAATGAGTAGAGGCAGAGACAACCTTTTTCATAACACATTGCATCCTGGAAGCCCCTATGACATAGCTAGGATAGCTGAAATTAATGGTAAAAAACAACGTCAGTGTGTCAAGGCTGATTTCAGGACTTGATTTCATTACTTTTGTGCAGATCAATATTGTCGTGTTGAAAACCACTCGAAATTATTATTGTTTAAATAAAGATGAGTGAATTATTCAGCAGTCAGCTGCCATTTGATGAATACCAACCTAGTACTGTAAAATGACTAATTTTCACTGGGTTTAAATTTCACTGATTTACCATTTCAGGCATATTCAGTGGGTTTTAAATTCACGGTTTCTCCATTTAGATAATGTGTTCTATGCTAAATTTTACATATTCACTGTGTTTTAATTTAGCGCATTTCTCCAGTCAGCGAAATAAGCTAAATTAAAACCCAGTGAATAATTACCCCCTTTACAGTATCAATTGTATTTAAACTTTGTTTGTTCTGTGTGTGTGTGCACTGTGTGAGCTCCACCTATGGTAGGCCTTGTGGTCAGGCACTCAGGGCCTGGTACTTGTTTACTGCATAAGCCAATAATACTATAGAGGACAAGGGCAAGGATGGGGGCGTGGCTTTTGTAACTTTTATTCAGTTTGTCTAAAAGGCGGCTATTATGTCTTTACATCATAAGAAATAATTTGCCAAACTAATTTTTATAACCTGAGAAAAATAACTTTCATGTGAAATTGAGTTTAAAAAAAAATAAATAAATAAGTGTACTTCTCTCTGATAAAAGTGACATTTCAAACATTTTGTTCAATGTCCCCCAGTTTTTTCCTGTTCTTGGTACTGTACCTTAATGGCCTCAAGTCCATTATACAGAAAGTATGGAAAACAGATAACTTTATTGTAATCTTTAATTTTGCCTGAACTTTCTTAAAATCAATCATAGTTAACAAAAAATAACCTAATCTTTCCTGATATTTTCATGCAAGTTATTGTTAAGAAGATGAGTAAACACTGTTTCCATGGAAACATGGTGTGATGCTCCAAAATGAAGACCATTTTATTTATCTCTATTGTTGCCTCTTTTCTTCACATTTGGATCTTTGTATCTGGCACTCTGAAATGAAATAATATAAACTTTAGTCATACATATAAGTGGTATTAAAGCTAATTTATGCATCTAGAACAATTAGAACATTGGGTTAATGTAAATAAATGTGTATCTGCATTCTGAAAAAGTAAAAAAATCATATGGATGACTCATGTATGGGGTGGTACCTGGTACATTGTATTGTGTGTTGTAGCACCTGGTTCAGTATATGATGTGGTACCTGGTTCAGTATATGATGTAGTACCTGGTACCCTATAGGGTGTGGCACCTGGTACAGTATATGGTGTAGTACCTGGTACCTTATAGGGTGTGGCACCTGGTGCAGTATATGGTGTAGTACCTGGTACCTTATAGGGTGTGGTACCTGGTACAGTATATGGTGTAGTACCTGGTACCTTATAGGTTTTGGCACCTGGTACACTATATGGTGTACCACCTGGCACGACACATGATGTGGTACCTGGTACATTGTATGATGTGGCACCTGGCACAGTATATGATGTTGTAACTGGTTACCTTGTAGGGTGTGGTACCTGGTACTTTATAGGGTACGGTATCTGGTACCTTGTATAGTGTGCCATGTGTCACCCGGCACAGCACATGATGTGGCATCTGGCACAGAGAGTGATGTGGTAACTGGCACAGATCATGATGTGGCACCTGGTACATTGTTTGATGTGGCACCTGGTACAGTATATGGTGTAGTACCTGGCACCTTGTATGATGTGCCACCTGGTACCTTGTATGGTGTGGCACCTGGTACCTTGTATGGTGTGGCACCTGGTAAAGTATATGGTATAGTACCTGGTACCTTGTATTGTGTGGCACCTGGTACAGTATATAGTATAGTACCTGGTACCTTGTATGGTGTGGCACCTGGTACCTTGTATTGTGTGGCACCTGGTACATTGTATGGTGTAGTACCTGATATCTTGTATGGTGTGGCACGTGTGTATGATGTGCCACCTTGTACAGTATATGGTGTAGCACCTGGTACATTGTACAATGTGACACCTGGTTCATTTTATGATGTGGCACCTGGTTCATTTTACGATGTGGCACCTGGTTCATTTTACGATGTGGCACCTGGTTCATTTTACAATGTGGCACCTGGTTCATTTTACGATGTGGCACCTGGTTCATTTTACGATGTGGCACCTGGTTCATTGTACAGTATAAAATTAAACAAAATGATCAAGAAGGACTGGTCATGTATTTTGATTTTATGCTGTCAAAATATCGTAAAATCACAATGTGTAGATCACACCATATCTGAGCTGTCAAATCAAAGATGGCTACTAGATGGTCATTATTGTTTCTACAAAATCATATGTTCAACTGAAAACAATTTAAAATCATTTTTTTTAATTGTTTTTTGTTCCAGTTTACAGCTCTGAAACATTGATTCAGTGTGTGTGTGTGCGTGTGCTAACATATAGTGCATTTTGCCACAGCATCCATATCTTATGTTTGGACAGTGTAACCATTTAACTATTATAATATCGTTATTCTGCTATATAACCAACTTAAAGCGGGGAAGTCATCACCTGCGCATGTGTGAGATGGCCTTAGCGTGTCATTGTTTACAAAATAAGTGTCTACGCATGAGCCTTTGCGTTTTAGTGTGTGTTAATTGTTATCGCCGCTTGAGACTCAATTCCCACGCATGCGCAGGCGATGACCCTCTCGCTTTAAAACCAATTTGTATAAAACTTTGCATCAGTTACTGCTTATTATCTGTTATCAAAGAGTTAGATCGCTCGCAGGTAATTCTACTATTTTACTATCAATATTTTATTGCTATATTTGTTTCCATTTGTTAGGCAATTGGTGGTGCATCACCACGACAAGTTATGGATCATATGGCTGATATACTGATGTCACTCAACAAAAACACCTTTCAACTTTTATGCAAATGGCTTGAAGAATTACTGTCTATCCCACAATTCCCCTCACCAATAGCCTCCAAGGAAGACAAAGAACACTTCAAAAAGTCTGTTGTAAGGTACTGTAAAATGACTAATTTTCACTGGGTTTAAATTTCACTGATTTACCATTTCAGGCATATTCAGTGGGTTTTAAATTCACGGTTTTATCATTTAGATAATGTGTTCTATGCTAAATTTTACATATTCACTGTGTTTTAATTTAGCGCATTTTTCCAGTCAGCGAAATAAGCTAAATTAAAACCCAGTGAATAATTACCCCCTTTACAGTATGTTTGTCTTTCGTGTACTCCAATGCAATAATTATAAAAAAATTAATAGACCAAACCGCTAATGTCAAGAGCAAATCTGAAAATTAGAAATCGATGGTGACATTCTGCCCTCTACATCTAAGCCAATGTTTTCTCTTGAAGACTAACCTCCCCATCAGTCAACAAGGTGACTCAACTTGACTTTGTTGGATTTCATTGGCTCAGAATCAGCCCTGTTAAAGGGCACACTGCCTGGTGGCTTGGAATGCTGTCATTAATGGTTATTAATATCATTAATCCTATTATTGTTGTTAATTTTAAAAAAATCATCAAATTAGATATTTTTTTTTTTTATATTTCATCTGATGTCCAGCGTGTACTATATCAAAATTTGACAATACACAGTCATCTGACATCCTAATTCAAAATGTTTAGTAATGTTGGCAGGTGCACATATCCAGGGATGACAGGGCCAGCCATGTTGTTGAAAGTTTTTCCCTTTGCCCTCTAATATTTTCAATCACAACAAACTTCTGCCCTTGGCATCCATTTCTGGCTGTAAAGTTTAAATATCGGACAACTCCATATCTCTGTCACTGGGTGATTGTCAATGTTTTTATTTGTTGTTGATGTGACATTCAAAATGAACTGCATCAGTGAGGTGATCCTGGGGTTTCCATGGCTTAATTAGACTGCATTGTTGACAGTATGTTTTGAGGTGTTATTTTTATGCATTCCTAATCTTTTGGTGATCTTTGTTGTATAGATTGATTGTAAATATAATGTGATAACACTAGCATGTTGTACTTTTTAACGGACATCTGCCGTGCCTGACACCAGGTGGCCATGGCAACATAATTTTTGGTCAGAGTATAATGTTTTTTGCTGCATGTGTGTAATTGAACCAGTAATTTAAAATGATTTGTCTTGACACGTGAATAGAGTGCATAGTTACGATATCTTGTAATGCATATTCAAATTTAGTTTATGTAGTAATATGTGGGCATATAGTTGCATATACAATGTATTCAGTTAATCAACACACCATCTACTGTAAGCATTCATGGATAGCCAATATGAATGGGAGGAAATGATGTAATGATGCAAGCAAGGTGTTCATGGATCTTTAACCTTTACACCACCAAACTTTCTCACCCAAATCTTTCTGCTCCCCTCTTTTTTTAATATTCCTCATTATTTCTGGAAGCCAATTTTGAAGCCAACAGATATTTGGTTATTTTTGCCTTAATCTTCTGAAGGAAAGAGTGGACTATAAACTATTTTGTGAATTTGTGATGAAAATAGGGAACTAGTAGGGAAAAGGTTAATTATTAGGTTACTAGGTTACCGTACTGTGATGATGGAAATCATGTCAACTTCCCGGTGTGCATACAGTCTGAGCGAAGCACACACATTTATCAATCATTACTCTCCAAAGGATGAATTGGTTAAAATAAATGCGGCTAAATGCTTGACTGGCATGAAATTTTATGATAAAATACTAACTTCATGACCAGTTTGACTAATAGTTCGTTTAACCCGGATGATCAGATACAATGCATTTACTCTCAGATAGATAAAAGTACACATTGGAGTAATGCTCCTTGTCTCGAACACAACAACATGGTACCGGTAATCAGATTGTGAGTACAATCAGACCACATGGCCTGATTGTACCACATAAGTGTTTTTCTGTGCATCAGTAAATATTTGTTGATGAGGATGCCCCACTTTTTCAACAGTATTACCTCCCTACACTATAATATAGGCTTTAGATAGAGGATTTTTCTAAATTGGTTACAAGATATACTGTTATAGTACTTCCTTCATAAGCCCACTGCTATATTTTTAGACATTTAACGAGTTGAGTGTATCCCCTGTTATAGGCCCTGGGTGTTTTTACCGAGTATCAACGATGAATTAACATTTATTAAAATATACATGTAAAAAGTGTATTTCATTGCATAAAAATCATGGTTAATATGACAGTTCTTATTTTGAAGTGTGTGGTGGCCCTGACAACGAGTGTTTGATTCATGCTTTTACAAAAAAACTCGCCTTAATTTCACAGTGTATCACAACAAGGTTCACACTCTTTCTGTTCTGTCATTACTCACGATGAACCTAATGTTGCAATACTGAAGTAATCCATATTTTCGAGGGTGGTAACATGAGGTGGTCCTTGGGTTTAAGCCCCCACCCCTTACTTTCCTCGATTTTACATATTGAGGCCACACGGCATATGACTGGGGAAATATGGTAATACCAATAGTTTGCATATGTACATACATTTTGGGGAGGGGGTATTCTAAAAACAGAAATGAGTGTGATTTCATTTAGACTTAGCATACTGGTAATCAAAGTCACAGGAACAGATAAATGTGGCTAACATCAAAGTGAATGCAATACTGTTCTGTGCAATGTCTTTTGGTGCATCACATGCTATTAAGTGATCTTGGTGCATGTAACAAGTCTCCAACAACTATTTCCCACTTGTAACTCATTTAAAAAAAAACATGCTGTACCAAATATGTTCACACTAGACTACTCTTATAATGTACTGTTGCAGAGACCTGTTTTTGCAATTTATTTTCTGTTTCAGTAAAATTTACTGTCGAACAATGTGATCATTTCACCCAAATAGAATTTGGAAATGATATCAGTTCTTCTGTTTGGATCGTCAATGTCAAATCAAATGGTTCACCACAATATGCTTATTGGTGTTATAATTACAATTATTTGTTTTAAATTTGGACCACGATTGTCTTTGTAACAACCTGTCCATGGTTACTGAGCAGATGTATTGTGTGCGTTATATTTGCTAAAAAGTAAAATATAATGTGCAATTGTGTGCGTACACATAGGCTCTAGATCGAGGGTCTTGTGTACAATGTATGTCAGTCGTAAGTCATAAGATACCATCAGTAAAAAACACTGTCGTAAATTATATCAATGACGGTGATTTTCATAATAAACAATAAACATCCGTTGACAATATTGACTTGCTGGTGGCGTGATGATAACCTACTTCTAGGTATGGCGAGATATTGTAAATATCCAAATCACTGTTTACTAATGCATTTATTACAACATAAAGTGACAAATAAATAAATAAATAAATAAATAAATACTGTGATATGGATGAAAGGAATAAAACTCTAAGTATAACAAAACCAAGTATAGTTGTCTGCACGTGCAAAAACACCATGTATTCCTCCACATGCCCACCCATTTATACCCAACACCACATATATGTCACATCCACAAAACCTTCCAACCCACTATTAATTTCCACCCAACACATGTATTCCTTCTATGCCCACCCATTTATAACCACCACCACATCACACCCACAAAATCCTCCCACCCACTATTTCCACCCAACACATGCCCACCCATTTATAACCACCACCACCACCACCACCATCAACACACATGTCACACCCACAAATCCCTTCCTTCAATAATTCCCACCCATCACATGAATTCCTTTCCATGCCACCCATTTATACCCACCACCACACATACTCACCCATGCACATACTCAACCCACACGCATACTCAACCCACACGCATACTCAACCCACACGCATACTCTCCCCACACGAATACTCTCCCCACATGCATACTTGCCCCACACATACTCACCCACACACATACCACCACCACCACACATACTCACTCCACACATATACTCACCCCGCATGCATACTCACCCCACACACATACTCACCCCACACACATACTCACCCCACATGCATACTCACCTCACATGCATACTCACCCCTCATGCATACTCACCCCACATGCATACTCGCCCCTCATGCATACTCGCCCCTCATGCATACTCACCCCACATGCATACTCACCCCTCATGCATACTCACCCCACACGCATACTCACCCACACGCATACTCACCCCACACACATACTCGCCCCACACGCATACTCGCCCCACATGTATACTCGCCCCACACGTATACTCGCCCCACACGCATACTCGTCCCACACGCATACTCGTCCCACACGCATACTCGTCCCACACGCATACTCGCCCCACATGCATACTCACCCACACACATACCACCACCACCACACATACTCACTCCACACATATACTCACCCCGCATGCATACTCACCCCACACACATACTCACCCCACACACATACTCACCCCACATGCATACTCACCCCTCATGCATACTCACCCCTCATGCATACTCACCCCTCATGCATACTCACCCCTCATGCATACTCACCCCACACGCATACTCACCCACACGCATACTCACCCCACACACATACTCGCCCCACACGCATACTCGCCCCACACGCATACTCTCCCCACACG